AGACAGACAGCGAGAGGAAGGTCTTTGGATGTTAGAGGATGATATATGTTGTGAGTCTGGAAAACTGTCTGCTTCACTTCTTCTGTTGCTGCCCGAGCCAATTTCCTTCAACTCACTGAATCTTTGAAAAGAAGCGCACAATATAAGTCTTATCTTTAAGTCAAAGTAATATGAGAGAGCCAGCAGCTACAGAAGGCCTCTGATCTCTGGAAAAGTACTTACATATATACAGGAGGCTAGGACTTTAATATTTTATATCACAGTTAAGAATAGAGGAGGGTAACCTTGTTATACAGAGCTGATGATTTACTTAGGCTTTATAGGCTTTTCATACTCTTAATGTTTCACTAGCCTATATGTTCATAAATAGAGTTGGCCTACATTGACTGCCAGTCAAGTGTGCCATCACCATGGAGCTGCTGTCACATCAATGAGGTCATGTCTCCATTTATCCTCTCGTACTCAGACTCATCCAGTTTGAAGGAAAAACACATGTTTACAGTATATTAATCTTTACTGTAAACCAATCAATCCACTAACATACACCAATGTAACCCCTGACCCACGGAAAAAGTGAATTCATGTACAGAGAAACACCAATATTGATTTGCCAACGTATTCCGGTAGCAAGTGGCTGCGACAAAATGAATCACATTCCTGAACAGATTCAATTATTGATTGATTTAATGATCAGTTGGTCCAGGCATGGTGATGGAGCTTCCAACACCAGCCCAGCCACACAGTGTGCCCTGGAGACATGGAGATAAGACCAAAGAGGATGAGAGGGGGAGAGGACGGCTGGCTGCAGAAAGTGGGACAGAGGAGCAGTCAGCGGGGCAGATCGAGGCTAATGCAGCCAGGCATCCAGGCTTTCCTGATGTGCGAGTTCTGCCCGTTGTGTTTCTCCTCGAGCAGACTGACCTCTGAGCAGCAACTTCCATCACATGTTGTAGGCTAGCATACATCCCTGAGTCATAGCCCAGTGCCTCCAGCAGTCTAAACACTCTGCACACAAGAGTGGGAGCAAAACACTGAGCATCCACAGCTACTTCACATGGGCTGCTTATCAGGGACAAAATGGCAATCATTCATTCATTAAGTGTGTGTGCGTGCGTGTGTGTGTGTGTGTGTGTTTGTGCATGTGTGTTTGTGTTTGCGTGTGTGTGTGTTTTCAGCTGTGGCCCAGGAGCAGCTGCCTGCATATGATGCTGCTGTTAGGAAAAAATACTCCATAAGGGTAGTCTCTATACGCACAGTGGAGGCAGCACTGTAACACGTGTTTAAAAGGAAACGCTAACAGCGGTCATATTAAATCATGTCATGCATTAAATGAAGGCCCCAGAACAGCAAAACGCATTGTTCCGGTCTAGTTGTGTTGCGCTTGTCATGCCTGGCACGGCACGGAAGAGCTCGCACAGTGAAGAGGCTGCTTCTGGCCAAAGGATATGAGCAAAGAGAAGAAGGAGAGGCGACTGTCCCAGGGTCGCTGCACATCGCCTACGCCCATTCATAATGTGCGTGCTTCAGCCTACACTACCCAGCCTGGCATCCCGCTGATCCGTCAGGGTTTAGTCCGTTCATTTTCACTCTGTAGGCAGTGACTGTGATTTCACTGCGTAGGTACACGGCAGCATGGACTCACTATCCCTGCATAACACATGTGTTTATGAATATGTAGAAATGCCATTCAGTGTGGTGCGAAAATGGCCACAATTTGACTCTGCATGGTAGCCTACCGATTTATATTCCCAATAACCTTAATGTAGGTTGTGGGGAGGGACTCACTACGTATTGACCGTGTCTGCTGCTCATAAATGCCTTGTAAATGCCCTTAAAATAATCAATATAGACCACTGCCCCAATCCAACATAACTTTGATCAGTGGCCGCAGCCATGCCGGTCAAACCAGGAGTCTAAACAAAGAAAAAAAAAGGTCAGTCTTTTGTTACCTTTATAATCTTAATCGGATTTAAAATCTCTCCTCCGCCTCCCTCAAACAGGGACACGGGTGTAGCCTGCAGGCGTTATGAAAACGACCATCATTTAAATTATTCATTTCGACGTGATAAAATCAGTCCAAATGGCAGGAATGGATGCAAGGTGCAGGCGAAGAGCCGGGCGCCCCTTCATCAGACAATAACACCGGGAAACACCGAGAACACTCACCTAGTGGTCCAAGGAGGAGACGGGGGGACCGGGACTCTGGGAGGGTTGTCCCCCAAAACGAGCACCGATACGGAGAATTTTGGGGAAACGATGTCTGAATGTCAAAAAATATCCTCGGCGTCCTCCCGGGCCGGATGCTGATGGTGGTGTGTGGGGGTTTGGCTATGTGCTGGATGCTGTCATCGTACTGGGACTGCTCTCTAATCCTCGGCCCTGAGCTCAGAAAAACCCCCTCCTCCCACCGTCTCTCTCTCTCTCTCCTCCTCTGCTGTCTGCCCCGAGGACCCCCGCCCCCCTCCGCAAGGTCAGATACCTCCAGTAGTAAAATAATTCAAGAAATATAAAAAATATCATATGTTATTATGGTGATTATAATATTTTTACAATTATTATTAGGCCTATTATTATTGTTATTATTATTATTGTTATAATTATTATTATTATGCAACTTTGCTGCTGCAACAAAATAATTTCCCAATTTGGGATTTATATCTATCTATCTATCTATTTGTAATCTGGTGATCTAATACAAGTATATTTTTATTGGAAAAAATGTTTGGTTTTTTTATTTGTATGATCCAGTTTTCCAATTGATAGCCTACCCATTTCTTATATGTTGTCAATCCGATACTAAGTGTCTGTATTCTTCTTAATAAACAATGTTTTGACTGTAATTCTACTTTTTATGTATTTACAGTATAAGCACTGTATACTTTTTGGGGGGAATACATTACACTTACACTCACAATTTAATTATAATGTTAACAGCTGTTGGGTAGTCTGTAGCACTAAACAATATCAGCTCATATGATAAGGTCCTTAACTTTTATTTTATTTTAAGGTCCTTACGTGGCCCCTGCATTTCTAATTGTGTCAAGATCCACACGGTATACATTATTTAACCAAATTACCACACACCACAGGGAAATCTCACTATTTTCCTAGAGTCCCCTGGTTGATTTATCTGGCCTGAAAGTAAAACGTCATATTATTTTCCAGTAAACCTAAAAAATATCGTTTTTTATTTTATTTATTTGTTTTTGCCTCATGGTTTCTTCGTGCGATTTGACCCTCGGTGCGCACCATCGTTCGTCGTCACTTCCGTTTTTACGCACTTCCGGTTAAGATTATTCATCCATGCTCCGCAACGTTGAATTTTCAACACGAAAGGCAGACTGAAGAAAAAGACCAAATAAACCACAGCCATAATGTTCAAACTGGAAGGACTCGGGCCTAAAATGGACCCAGAGGAGATGAAGAAGAAAATGAGACAAGATGTCGTCTCATCTGTACGAAACTTCCTTATTTACGTCGCCCTTCTCAGAGTCAGTGAGTACAGGCAGATGACATTGACATACAACTCGCAACACTTGTAGTTTTCACTGCTTTTCTGGCATTAAGGACAGTGTTGTGAATGTATGTGCATGCATGTGAAAGTATATGGACAACGTCTTATAGCACATTTTATAAAAACATAACAACACAAACATAACATAACAAACATACAACAAACATAACAACACAAGCTACATTGCTCCAGAGCCAATGGAGGGTACATCTTAAGGCTGCACAATCTATCGAAATACTGCAATATTGTACAGGGATTCTCTAGTTAGTTGAAAGAGACTCATCGTACAAAAACTCCTCTTTAAAATGTAACAATCATTTTCGTTATTGGTATGTTTTATGTTCGTTCAATGCTCAATGTTGCATCATTTACATAATATAATTTATTGGCATTTGTTTTTAAATAACAATCAATTTGTTGTTTTTTTAGCAGTATTCTGAGAGCAGCAGAAAGGCAGAACCGTATACAAATAAATATATTTGTAATATTCAAAAGTACTTTAATTATCACAACATTAACGAAGTTAAAAACATATTTTCCTCAACTGTGCTGCCATACATCAATCTCACTTTATTTATGGTCTTAACATAAACTAATACTCTGTTTCTTCTGTGTTTACAGCCCCATATGTGTTAAATAAGCTGGACAGCATATGAGCGGAGCAGCAGGTCTCTTCTTCCGCCATGAGAGTTTACTCCATCAGAGACAGTATGAGCCATCTTCATCAGACTACCGGGGCAACAGCAGCAAATCCTGTTGGAGATTATCAAAGTCTGTCCATCACTGCACCTGAAGAAACACCTTGTTTTCATTTGTCATATCTTGTTGAATACTTTAGTCTGCCTATCTTGTGAAACACATTGTGTTCATTGTTAAATGCAAAGTCTAAATGTGTGTATGCCTGCTGTGTTCACACATCAAAAGGGAAAACATGTTTTTGATTTACATAACAGATTGTTAAACGGCAAGAAAACGTTCATGATAGGGTTTTAAACCTTGAATCTGACATCACTGAAAATAAAAAAATTGCATAAAGGATTTGGACGCGATTCATTGTCTTTTTCTGAACTGATAACAGAGATCTTCAACAGCAACAAACATATTTTCTTGACTTGGCCTCAAGATTAATTGAACCTGTGCCTTGGTGTTTATTTAGATCAAAAGATCAAAAATACTGTAATATTGTTAACTAAAATACTAGTTTGCTAGGACTCATAATGGGAACATGAATTGATAAGGACAATTGATATTGATAATGCAAATAAAAAGATACATTGTTTGATTTTTTGGTATGTACAGTATATCAACTTGACTTGCAGTGTACTATAACAATTACAACATAATTTGATGAGAAATCAAATTGACAACATTTTATATTGAGAAAGTCGAATGTAGATGCAGTTCAGCAAAATGGCCACCAGGGGGCGGTGTGGTTTCATCCCGAGGGTTGATGAGACACCAAACGATGGAGGACAGTAGACGCTAAACCGGCCCGGGTGAGAGTTAGGTTGTAGGGCTCTGGATTAGTAGCAGAAATGGTAACCATAATGAAAGCAACATTAGGATAACATATTGTTGTCAGTGAAAGAAGAACCTCTGTACCGGCTGTTCCCGGAGACGAAGCCTGAGACCGCGTCGCATCCTCCGTGTTCTTGTTGCACTAGGCCCGCCCATCCTCCACAGCATCCCAGGCAGCTACAACAGACAACAGACCGCACATCACACCGGAGGTAGGCTCCTTTGGAAAGCCAGTGTCCAGTCAGCCTGAGGAAGTTTTCAGCAGATGAGGGGTAAATAACAAGAAGTTTGACAGCTTTGCTCCAGACAATGCCCTTCATTGTGTTATTGAATTTACACTAGTGCCACGGATGCTATACAATACACCTGTACTAAAGAACCTCCACCGCCTATGATGGACTTCCCAGGTCATTTCCAGCACATTTTCAAGCAGCTCAACCACCAGCGCCTCCATGCTCAGCTGTGTGACTGTGTGGTGGTGGTTGGAGGTCAGAGCTTCCAGGCTCACCGCTCCATCCTGGCAGCTTCCAGCTCCCACTTCAGGGCTCTCCTGAGCTCCAGTGACAGTGGGGACGAGGTTGGAGTGGATCCAGGTGGAGGCCCCAGTGTGATGGAACTAGATCAAGAGGTGGTGACCCCTGAGGCCTTCTCGACCTTGCTGGACATGATTTACACCTCCACCCTCTCTCCTGGTGCCTCCAATGTGATGGATGTACTGCTGGCAGCATCGCACCTGCACCTCAACACTGTCGTCAAGGCCTGCAAGCTCCACCTGTCCAGGAAAAACTTTCCCGCATCGCCTCCAAAAGGCTGGAGGTCATTGCAACAGCAGCAGGCAGAGAAGTCGGCCACATCTGTCATGGAGGAGCAGCACATCAGTGACGAGGAAGTGGGGGTGGAGGTTAGTCAGTCTGGTGGAGTTGAAGACCAGGGAGTGAGGATGAGGGAACTATTATTGAGGAACAAGAGGAAGTCAAACAATGACGGGCTCAGTGGCAGAAAGAGGTCCTGCAGACTGCCTGAGGGAAACTATAATGAGTGTTCACCTAATGTAAGCACCGTCAGTACAGAGGAGGGTGGAGAGCCGCCGCTGCCCCTAGACTCCCTGAAGATGAGCGATGCTCTCTGGGGGAGCCGAGGCGAGGAGGAAGTGGAGGAGAAATATGAAGCAACCAAGGGAGAGTCAGAGGAAATCCAGCTGCCAAGCCAATCAGACAGCAGCACGAGAGGTGTAGGTGCATGGGATATGGGCGGAGAAACAGAGGGAGATACTGTGGTCAAAATACAGATAGGAGAAGAAGGGGAGGAAGATGGAGAGAAGCCGAAGATTACGATGATTGAGGTAAAAAAGGAGAGCTCATACTCCCCAGATTTACCAGACAATTGTCCTCTATCTCCACCACCAGGCTGCACTGACAATTTGGATGCACAACTAAATGAGGAGAAAATGGCCGCAGCCTGCCCCACTGAGGCTGACGTTAGCTCTCTGCAATCCCAGCTGTGCACAGATCTTCAAACTGATGCTAGAGATCTGGGTGAGGAGTCAGTGGACGGTGAAGGCCTTGACAGCCTGTCAGAACTCGCTTTTTCCTGCTTCCTCAATCCCAGCAGTGACAGCGTGATGGGGGCTTTGGAGGAAGAAGACAGTCTAGCTAGCCTCACTGCTGCTGCTACAGCTGCTGCCTCTGCCTCTTATGCTGCTGGAGAACTTTGTCAAAACTCAGAGGAAACCTCTCCTGCTCAGACCTCTGATCCCTCTCTAGTGTTTCCAGTGACGTCTGTCCCCCTGCAGCAGCTTCTCCCAACTCAGGGCCCTGGTTTCAGCGACACACTCATCCTCCAGCCCACTCAGAACTCTTTATCAGGGTTCCTGAGTAGCATCAATCCAGGCCTCAGTCTGGAAACGTCCCTCATCCAACCTTCCTGGGCCGGGAAAAGCTCAGGGGCGACAACCTTCCGACGCATTGCCCCCAAAGTGCCGCCTGGATCAGAAGCTGATGGTTCCTCTGGGTCAGCGGGGGATGCTGCTGAGCGGCCGCCTTTGACCAGAGCTTCTGAGGATGTTATGTCCAAGTGCAAGAAAGCAGCTGCTGAAGACCTTGTGATGTTGGTGGAAGGGGAGAAGAAATACGCCTGCAAAATCTGCTGTAAGACCTTCATGAACCTGACTGACTGTAAGAAACATATTCGGGTCCACACTGGAGAAAAGCCCTATCCATGTCCAAAGTGTGGCAAGCGCTTCAGCCAGTCCTCCCATCTGTATAAGCACTCCAAAAACACCTGCCTGAGCTGGAAGGATGACCAATCATTCCCTGATACCCTGCTATCAACTGCTCTTAACTGAAGGGTGTTTTCTGGTTTGCACAACTCAGCCCAATTCATAGAAAAAAATGAACTCTGCAAGGTTGATTATTTATTACCCCATGAACTTAAAGGTGGGGTAGGTCATTTTGGAGAAACCAGCTTGAGTGCGCTAGAATTTGAAAATACACAGCCGGAAAAAATCTGCCACTTCCTTACAGAGCCCCTCCTCCAACACACACAAACGCGCAAATGACCAATGAGGGCACGAGATAAGTTTGTGCACAGATGGAAGGCTGACAGGCAGGTAGGCCATCCAGTTATTTTAGCCGGGCCGGCTAAAATGATTGGTCGTGCTTTTCACAGTACTACGGCTTCCACAGATGAAATTTTTTAATGTATTTATTGTCAAAGCATTTAATATATTCATTGCTATCGGGATGTTAAGAGCATTCCATGGAATATAACAAAAAGTGTTTCTGAAATAAATTACATACCCCACCTTTTAATTATGTTACATGAATTCAAATTAAACTAGCTAATGTTTTTTTATGTTCTCAACCCTGTTGTGATTTGTTAAAAAGTGTTCATGAAATGAAATGGATAAAAATGTATAGCCAAACTGATGAATGCACTGAAAATGTTCTCAAAGAATAACTTGTTTTTTTACTGCTGTGTTAAGAGTAATGAGAATAAATCATTCACTTAAATCTTTTTTGAGCATGAGTAATTTCTAATAAAAAAAAATACAACACACGGAGCATTATAATTAAACTAAGCAATACGCGTTTATTCTTCAAGACATGCCATTTGTTTTACACAAAACTGGAGTGTTGTACTGTTTGGGAGCGTCACTGACAGCATTACCATTAGAGAAAAGTGCAGATTGAATAATGCTAATCTTTATGGCAAGAAAGACAGAACATTTGATTATATTTTAACAGACATTTCAAATGCAAAAAATAACTAATGTTATGAAGTGCTACCAGTTTCTTCATTAGCCTCTTAAATACATTTCTGAGATGATAAAACTGCACAAAGAATTGAATTCCTCTGAAATACACATTCAATTCAAAGAGTGAATCTCATATTAGTACCTCTGACAAGATCACACTATCAAGTTAATACTGACAAAATGGAATCATGTGTCTAAGCTTTCTTAACTACATTAGTATTCTTCTTTTCAGCCTTCCTCCACTTTTATCTCACATAGGAGACTATCACTAGATCAGTATATTACTGCTACAGATGCAGCACCAGAGCAGGCCGTCGGCACAGCAACACACTTTTAGTTTTAGAAGGTGAGTTCACTGGGCATGTCCGTGCCCTGTAAACCTCCCAGCAGGTTTTGGGCCGACAAAGCTCCCATGATGCCTCTCGTGGAGTAGGTGGCACTGCCGATGTGTGGCAACACCACTGCACAAGATAGGAGAGGAGAGAACGTATAATTACATAAGACTATAGTGTCAAATCAAAAGAACGTAGGAAAAGTGGGCAAAAAACATGTCTACATATTTCCCATCCTGTTTACTTACCGCAGTTTTTGAGTGTCAGCAGAGGGTGGTTTGTTGGGAGTGGCTCAGGTGTTGTGACATCTAATCCAGCTGCAGCTATCTGTCCGCTGCTCAAAGCTTCGTATAGATCCTCCTGGTTCACCACAGTTCCCCTAAAACAAATAATTCACCACATCTCACCCTGTTTGTATTTACCAGCAAACAACAGCTAGTGACATAAACATGACAACAGACTGAACACATAACAAGGTCTATCACACCCATATTTGTGCTGCTTTACCTGCTTGAGTTGACGAAGACTCCTGTGTTTTTCATCTTGCTGAAGAAGGCCTTATCACACATGCCCTGGGTTTCTGGTGTCAGGGAGCAGGAAACAACTATAAAGTCGCTCTCTGACAGAAGAGTGTCCAGGGGAACTGTTCAACGGAGAGGAGAGGAGAAGGGAGGACGAACAAAGCAGGAAGAGAGGAAACATAAAACCAAAATCCCTATTGTTATTAAAAAGGTAGATTGAGTTTAGTTATTTCACCTAATCTATTTGACTTTTATTGTTATCGTCTATTAGGCAATGGTATTAGTGTTGCTTCTTATAAATAATATTATACTTATTCAATATATTTTCTTGATAGTGGTTTTCTATTTTTATGATGCTGTGATTTATTGAGGAATCTAGCAAAAAAAAACGTTTAGTATCTTTTTATATTAGATTATCACTTCTTATGTTCTGTCCTTTCAAAGTCAACTTTAATGTCAATCTTACTCAGTTTGTGTTTACAAACAGAGAGATCGAAATGACATTTCCAACAATCCCGAATTATACAGTATACAGATATGTATACAAATATGTATATCCTAATATACACAATCAACAGACACATTTACACATATGCACACATTAAGATAAAAAAAACACAACAATCAATATATACAAAATAACAGTCACTTCAATATCTTTGGTGCAAGATTGTCCATAAAATGTGCATTTATTGCAGATTGTCCATAGCAGGGTAAAAAAAAGTGTCTTGTGCTGGATTTGAGTGTCCTGCTATATGGTTTTAAAATGTTCCCTTACACTGTGAAGGTTTCTCTTATTTTTCTTACCATACTCTCCATTCACCTCAGCAGCGTAGTCTTTGGCTGTTCTCCCAGAGTACAGCAGCCTCTTCACTCCGAAGGGCATGAGTCTCCGAGAAATTGCCATGCCTGAACATCACAAACACACCCAGTTATTCAACTACAGAGCTCATCAGGGAAATAAAATCACACCATTTTAATTAGGTATGAGAACACTGGTATTGGTGAAAGGACCTAGTCATATGATACTATATCGCATCATCAGTAGCCTTACCAATGCGTCCCAGTCCAATGACTCCCACTGTGCTGCCGGAGAGACCGTAACCACACAGCCAGAGAGGCTTCCACGAGCTCCAGCCCCCACTGAGAGAGAAAAGAAAACACTGCATGACCATTATGTCACTTAATTACCTGCACTCTTGGTGAAATAGATACATAAATGTAATCACAATGAAAGACAACACAGATAGTGTAAATGTGGGGCTGGGGGACTGACTTTTTGACCTCCTCCACTCCCTCTGGTAACCTGCGAGCGGTGGCCAGCAGCAGGGCGACGGTCAGCTCTGCTGTGGCGTCAGTCAGGACGTCCGGAGTGTATCCAACACGAATACCACTGTGGAAAACAAACAGTCATTTAATTTGGATGTGCCAATTCATCCTACTAGTAGAAGGTTGGTTGTAGAAGTATAAGCTGCAGTTCATGATAGAAACCTACCGCTTTTTTATTTCATCAATAGCCAAGTGGTCGTATCCAACTGAGAGGGTGCTGATTACTTTCAGGTTCGGTCCTGAATCACACACAGATCACACTGAAATGTTAAAATCTAGACACTTGAGCAACATATCATTACAACCGTTTGATATTTTGTATGTGCTAATACATTTATTGGATTGATTTAGGATTAATTGTTTTTAAAAACATTAGCATCTATTTTGATAATTCACTTTTCCTTTTTTTATCAAATTAATTATGAAAGATATATCTGCTTGTGTGTTGCTATTCTCTGCCCTCGTAGTTAAGGGTTTAAGATGATGACCAAGAAATGTAACAGATATATTAATCCAAGGGAGGCATTTGTTGCTTTATGTCTTTCCCTCATTTCCTGTCAAACTATAACAACATAGTAATGCCCTCAAAACAATATTTGCTCTGGTAATTTCTTATGGACTTCTTAAAGACTGTTAAAACAATTTAATCAATGGATTACTTGATATAAGAAATACAGTATGTCTTGCAGCCCTTATTTTTTTGTTTTTAATGAGGTAATGTCTGTAGTTCAGGAATGTAAAAGCTTTGTATAGTCAGACTCCTCTTTTTTAGTGTATTGCCTTTTCTTACCTGATGATATTTGTTAAAATAAAAACCCTATCTTAAAATCTTGTTTTTTATATCTTGTATTTTAAAGGTGGGGTATGTAATTTTGGAGAAACCAGCTTGAGTGCGCTAGAATTTGAAAGTACACAACCGGAAAAAATCTGCCTCTTCCTTCAGACTTCCTTACAGAGCCCCTCCTCCAACACACACGAACGCGCACATGACCAATGAGGGCACGAGATAAGTTTGTGCACAGATGGAAGGCTGACAGGCAGGTAGGCCATCCAGTTATTTTAGCCGGGCCGGCTAAAATGATTGGTCGTGCTTTTTACAGCGCCACGGCTTCCACATATGACATTTTTTTTATGTATTTATTGTCAAAGCATTTAATTAGTCATTGCTATCGGGATGTTAAGAGCATTCCATGGAATATAACAAAAAGTGTTTCTGAAATAAATTACATACCCCACCTTTAAGTGTTAAATACTATGAAGCACATTGTGATGTTGTTTTAAATGTTGTATTACATATATTATTATTATTATTATCATAATTGTAATTATTATGTACCTAGGACTCCCTTAGAAGCAGTGTTGAGAGTTTTTAGATCATATCCTGCTAAAAAAAAAGTAAATATTTTTTGATTGATGGATACAATGGGTACAATGTCCTAGTTTTACATAACCACAGATGATGAGTACAGGATGATAGAGTACCTGCAGCATCCAGAACCTCGGCATCGATCTTGTCTGACAGCAGACACAGCAGACCATGAGCTCCCTGCACACCTTTAAGCAGATCTGCCCTCTGCACGGGTTCATCTGAGTCCCACTGGGAGACCTCACAGCTGAGACCAAAAAAAGGAGAAAAGTCATGTGACAAGGCATACAGTCTGAATTAGTTATATAAGCAACACACTGTATCGTTGGAGTTGTGTGACCCTAGGAGAGGTCACGATGCATCTCATGTTTACTATTGGCTACAGAAGTGTGTAACATGATTCGAAGCAAAACGACTGTCTAAACATATGGAGGAAAAAGAGTAAGCCAGCCAGGGTAGACTGCAGGGCAGCCGCACAGCCTGCTGGTAGTCAATACAATCTGCTATGGCAATGTCAAATATCAGTCAGTGTTATACTTAAATAATGCCTACACTCCAGCCGCGGACAGGATCTTCATCCCCTCCGGAGGGATGCGTCTGGTCAGGAACACCTTCATGAGTTTACCGGCCGCAGTCTGCATCAACATGAACTGAAGTCCTTCCGACTGGAGGCTCTCTAACTTTGTGGGAGGATTGAACGTTTGCTCCACAGAGAGAAAACTACACTACCACGCTCCTGCAGACATCAGGAAGTACTCGGTTTCATGGTACTGCGCCTGCGTGGAGTTGGGTCTCTTTATTGCATGGAAATCGGCCGTCTTCGTTACGGGACACACCAATAAGCCCCTGACACACCAGACCGAAATCGGCCGTCTTCGAGTCGTTCGACGAAGCGTGCCCTGTCGCCCAAACTCAATTTGGTGTGTCCCGTGACACGCCTTATTTGGCCTTTCACGACCGACGCATGGCCGATTCAACATGCGTCGGACACAGGCAGTCGGACCAAGAAACCACTCTGATTGGCTGTTCAGCTAGCGAATGAGAAGCGAAACGGAAGTGAGGGACGTAAACAAACGATTTAAGAAGGCACACACACAGACGGCTATTCATTTTCATCACATCGGTTTATTTGTCATCATGGCGATCTGGAATGAAGGAAACGAAGACCTGCTCATCAACTTGATCCAGGAGAGGCCAACTCTGTACGACATTACAGAGTCAAAGTACTCGAACCGAGTAGTGAAAACCGGACTCTGGCGAGAGATTGAATCTCAACTTGGTTTCTCAGGTAAGATTCTATTTTTTCATCAATTGAGCTCTTTAGCAGAAACTGTTGGTTTTGTATTGTTTGCCAGCGTACGTGAAATGTAATTTGTTATTTCAGCCTTGTGTTTTGTTGTTATCTTGTTGCTAGCTGTTGCTACTTGTTTGGCTAACTAGCCACAATGCTTACATTGTTTATTTGTGTGCTTCAGAGAAAGAGCTGAGGAAGAAGTGGGATTCTCTGCGAACCCAGTACACCCGGTACAAGAAACTTGCACCTTCGGGTAGTTGTGGAGCACAAAGGACTGGCAGACAGCAGTCGATCCTGACCAGGCTGCAGTTTTTAGAGCCCTACACAAGAAGGAAGGAGAGTACTTCAAACCTCACCATCACGGTAACTATTTTATTTGTTGAGTACAAATAAGTGTTTCTTGCTTCTTTCATTTAGAAACATTATTCAATTCATTTACAGTAGTAAATATAACAATAACAGAATAATATATATATTATTGTATTATAATTCTTGATGGATTAATGTGCTCATCACCTTAAAGGTGGGGTAGGTAATTTTGGAGAAACCAGCTCGAGTGCGCTAGAATTTGAAAATACACAACCGGAGAAAATCTGCCACTTCCTTACATGACCAATGAGGGCACGAGATAAGTTTGTGCACAGATGGAAGGCTGACAGGCAGGTAGGCCATCCAGTTACTTTAACCGGGCTGGCTAAAATGATTGGTCGTACTTTTTACAGTATTACGGCTTCCACAGATGAAATTTTTGTATGGATTTTTTTGTCAAAGCACTTAAGATATTCATTGCTATCGGGATGTTAAGAGCATTCCATGGAATATAACAAAAAGTGTATCTCGAGCCGGTTTCTCAAACGTACCTACCCCACCTTTAATGTTGCAGCTGGTAAAGGAGGAGCTGATTTAAAGGGCCCATGTCATGCTTTTCCGGTTATTACCCGTCCCCTTGTGTGTTATGTAGCTTTTTATGCATGTACACGGTCTGCAAAGTCACAAACCCTCAAAGTACACCCTGTAGCGAGTAAAACTCTAACACAGAAAATACCTCCCCAAAACGCCTCGTTGGAGATACGTCATTGTCCATTTGATTCTTCCATTTCGTTCCGGGTACGGCATGATGTCAAGCCGTACCCGGAATTAAATGGACCAATCCGTGGAGCCGTTGCGTTACGTCCGCGGAGCTGTTACGTTAAGCCCCCGCTGATTGGTCCACATTGACCAATCCACAGACTTCCTCACACACACATCTGTGTGCAGGGAGCAGGCAGCTCAGCTGATTTCTCCTCCCTGGCTGCAGGCTGATAACAGACAGTTGGGATTGCGGCGAAATTCTCTCTGCAGACCCATTCTCACAGCGTTTATCAACCTTTTTCTTACTCAATATCAAGCCACACTTATTGTTTTTACTTCGGCTGTGACTTTGTGTGTGCTCAGGATGAGTTTGGCTGTTTATCGCTAACAAGGAAACAACACCTCCACGGAGCTCAGCGCAATTCACAACGTCCCGACCAATCAGAGCACACTGTGCTCACAGGGAGGGTGGGGGCTGGAGCTATTGGAGCTACAACGAGCCGTTAAAGGCAGAGAGTGAAATTCAGTGAATACACGTAGTTTACAGAGATGCTGTATGAGAAACCAATGTGAGTTTGGAAAATTGCACAATATAAATCTATTCTAGTATACCTCAACAATGGAATTATGATCAGTGGAAATGGCCATGACATGGGCCCTTTAAATTACATTATATACTACTCTGTGGGTAGCTTATGAAATTCACCATGGGATCAATAACGTTTTTATCTTAACCTATAATAATACATGATAAAATATTTCTTGATTATATTTTGTATTGTTTTGAATCTTCAAAGTTACTAAAGTTATCAAATAAATGTAGCACAGTATAAAGTACACTATTTGCCTGAATGGGAAAGGAGCAGTACAGTACTTAAGTAAATGTACTTTGTTACTGTCTACCGCTGTTCATTGTTCAAGATTGAAATGTAAATGTAAATTTGCAAGACAGTTTCTGCCCCTCTATTCACATGTAGCCTTTCACACGTGATGGTGGCTTCATTCTCCCATTATCTTCCACAATCTGTCTAGAAGTATGTTTTTAGCATCTGAATAGAGCCATCACAATTTGTTTACAATGTGCCTTTCACACTTGACCACACCCCGAACGAATGGCACACACATTTCAGGGAATTGTTTTGTTATGAATGCTTAGTAAACAGTTTTAAGAATCCATGGCATTAAATCCAACTAATTGTGAATTTAAAAAAAAAAATAAGGAACTTCTGGTGGCTGCAGAACCACCCTCCGATGGCACCAGCAGTGAAACCTGGACCAGCACCCCTGAGGAGCCCTTCCTCTTTGATGCTGAGTCAAGTCACTGCACTCCCCTGGCAGAATCCCCCATCTGTGGAACAGAGTCCACACTGGCACCGCTTGGAGAGGAGCCAAGCACATTCAGTCACTCAAGCACTCCAAGGCCTCGGGTGAAGCGTAGCAGGGAGATGCTGGATGAGTCCACCAGTGAGGCGTCAGAAACGTTGATGCGCAAGATTGGCAGGACCCTGGAACATTTAACTTCGAAGGGTGAACATAATGACTACATTGCGGCCTACTCAAAATCCTTTGAACACAGACTGCGGCAGTTGCCACGTCATTTGCTGCCACACTTCCTGCATGAGGTGGACAATAGCTTCTTCAAGTATTTGACGGACAAGACCCTGGAAAATGAAATTAGAAGGAGGTGGCTTGTCTCTGACTCTAGGCCGAATTTACCAGATACGCTCAAAATGTCCACCCCCAATATATAGCCTAACTGATTACATTTTTTTTTAATTAAATTGCTATTCTATGACTTTTATTTTTTATTTTATTTTTGGTCCCCCCCCAATGTTGACTCCATGGTTACAGCCTTGCACCGACTGTATATAAAGGTTGTCTCTGATAGACTTATATTATTGGTCTTTTTACACTGATGTATAATGTCAAATTTTAGAATGAGAGACAGAATGAAAAAACACGTCTTGTTTGTTTTGTTGGTAAGGATGTCGGTTGTAAAATGATCTGTGCAAGTCAATAAATCACAAGTCTCTGCATTTTGCCGGCCAGAATTTTTTTTTATAGCCTATTTAGGGCAAGTTAGGGCATGTTTACATTTCTCTTCTGACTTCATTTCAGAATCAGAAACGGGTTTATTGCCAGGTAGGTTCACACACATGAGGAATTTGACTTGATGTCATGGTGAATACAAAATATAAAACAAAGAATCTCCATATAAAACAAGAAATCTTTAAGGATACTGTAATAAAATATAGTTAAATAGCAATAAAATAACGCAGTAATTTACAGCGAAATGGAATGCAATGAGTTATAGAATATATAATATGAAATAAGAATATGTGCAGTAAGCAGTATTTGAACATTGTGTGCATTAATGTAATGCATATAGAGTCTACGTTGTGTCAGTGGGGGGGCCGGGCCTTGTTTAAGAGGCCGGTAGCGGAGGGGAAGAAACTGTTCAGGTGGCGAGAGGTTTTGGTCCTGGAGTCGTGTAAAAAATAAAGGAGTGGACAATGTCGTCACACCGACAGGAGAACCCACGTGTATCCACATTGAGGAGATCAAACCAAATCGTTTCTGAGTTAAAACTGTACAAACCTGGTTTATAGTGTGAATGCGACCGCAAAATGTACCTCATGCAATGCTTAACACTGCTGCTGGAACAAAAATAATTTCCAAATTTGGGATGAATAAAGATTCTATCTATCTCTATACATATCTATATACATAGATGTAGACAAGAATGTAAAGTTAAATATTGTACAGTAAAATTAAATAAATATTGTTTATTGTAGTGAGTTTAAATAAAGATTCTATCTATCTATATACATATCTATCTGTCTATCTATCTATATACATATCTATATATCTATATACATAGATGTAGACAAGAATGTAAAGTTAAATATTGTACAGTAAAATTAAATAAATATTGTTTATTGTAGTGAGTTTAAATACATTTACAATTAATTCCATTTTATATTTAAAATGTCCAAAATGCATACTTGCATTCATACCCTCATTCTTTATATCATGATTAGTTTAAACAACATTCAATATTTCATTAGAATCCAAAAGGAAAGTGAGTGTACCTACCTGTGCCTTTACAAGGATAAAATAAAACGACGTGCCTCTGGATATGCCTCTGCGTATGACGTCACTGTCCCCTCCTGCTCCTTCTGCTCGTGCTCGGCTGCTTCAGCGCAGTGGTCATTCCTCTCGTGAGCTGTGTCTGTAAATGGTGAAGTGAAGTCTGCAGAAGGCGGAATAAGAGACACTCAGTACTTGAGGAACAAACAATAGCCTTCAAAGCAGGAAATTAAAGTGGGGGCCAAGTCTGTAAAAGGTGAGGAAATACATTGTCTTTCTTCGTGTATTTGTATATCTTAATGTTAGCACAGGCTATCATTATCGTCAGCTGAGTGATAGCTTGGGCTGGTTGTAACAGGCTATCGTTACTCGGCTTGTTGTTAATGGTTGGTTGCATGTCTATTCTCAGTTCGTCAGTCAGGATCAAAACTATATAAGATTACCTGTTAACAATGTCGCGATATCATCATGAGTCTATTATCGGTATGCAACGAGCCGTATCACATATGTACTGTCATTACTGCAGGCGTCACCGCACTGTCATATCCATAGTCCGCAGTACACACACACACACATTAATAGGCAGATATAAATTATTAACTTTTTTTAAAACTTCAGATTTATATGTTCTTATTCGAATGTGCATAATGATCTCAGACACACCTTTAATGTTATCAAGACGAATCATCATATCCTAACAAGCACAAGAAGGATATCTATGTAATTGTATCTTAATAATTGTTAAGGTTAATTATAGTCTCTGTCTATTCTGACAAACTATGCGGTAAACAATCAAATGATTAGGCTCTAATGAATGCAGTTTCAACCCTGTAAAGGGAAAGTGACTTGACTTGTTTTATATCATATATCATTGTCTTTAAACTTGAGTTACCCTATGTATTGGTTAAATAACTAGATAATAGTGTTGGTCTTTGGAGTTGAATGATCAAATAAAAAAAGTACAACACATCTTGTTGATGCAAAAATCCTGCAAATCCAGTAATGTCATTGAGTAATGTTGGCTTCATACAAACAGAGATGAGACAAAACCTCTAAGATTATCCCATGCTTTATTCTCACATCGCCCAACCCTACCTCTACTGGTGTGGCAAATGGCTATATTTAGAATAAAAATGAAACAACACTTGTTCTGGTTGGTATAAAGTTTTGAAGTTTTTAGATCACATCAAAAATCAATTACATTTTTGATAGTCAAACACTAACAGTGTGTCTATGAATTGTCTTCCATGTAAAATAGTTATTGCACTTGAAAAATATAACCAAATCCCTGATATTCAACCTGACTTCATAGAAACTTTAATGTTCTCTTTGTGGTTTCTGAGATGCCGCCATTTTTCTATACTATATTGAGTTTTTGGGCACATGGGACTACCTTTTTTTCCCCCTAAAATATAATAAGTATATAAAAAAACAGTAGAACTATGTGTCTAAAGACAAAATATATCAGCAACAATTTGACAGATTTTAGAAAATGTTTGGAAATGTGTCCCCCGAGAACAATTCCATAGAGATTTCAAAATGCAGTAGTACAAATCGGACTATGAAACTATTGCAAATTCATCTATTTCTCAGGAGTTCCTGAAGCAGACAACTAAAATCCTTAAATTCTTCTTGAGGAGTCTCTGGTATGAAGCCGATCAAATATCCACATGTTATTTCAGGATCAAATACCACCTTCGCCCCGCCCACTGCACACTTTTGGACGAGGAACCTGCAGAGCCTGTCTGAGCCTGCACGCCACCGCAGGTTGAAAGGAGAGAAGACTCTGCCATGGCTCTGTTGACCCTGCGTCGGCTCCCGTCCATCTCCTCCGCTCCAGTGAGTTCAGCCATCTCCACACCACGTTGTGCACGCACAAGTTTGCTCCCCGAGATATGAAATAATGACCTTTTTGCTTTAGATAGAATGGTTTAGAAGCATAAATGAGGCTGTTTAGTTTTATACTCGCTCTCAGGATAGGCCTAGAGGGCAAACGTACCACAGATATGTCTTTTAACTGATTACGTTTTCATTCATTACAGCAATGTGATTGGATCAGCTTCTGTTTGTCCTTATGCTCCTGCAAACAGTGATTAATGCACACTTATTATCATATAAACACTTATTATCATCAGCTGTCTCTACCTGTATCTCCTCATTCTGTCCCTCTATCATGAAGATTGTTTACCTTCACATCCTAGGCCTGGCTTTTCTTCTGCTCTTTTCCAACTAAAACGACCTGACTCTGGGTCCACGTTTCATTTCTTTGCATATTTTGTCACAGTATCTAATCACTCTACTATCTTAACTTGTGTTCTCTCCTTTTCTTCTTCTTCAAACCCCCATTCTTCCTCTCCTGGCTCCTGCCCATTGCTCCTCTTTATTTTTGTTTTCTTGACTCTGTCTGGACTTGTCAGTTGCGTAACAGGTAATGTTCCTGTCTCAAGTTTCTTTCTCCGTAAACCCTCCGTACTGCTGCTACTTCTCTCTTATTGGTTCTCTCTTTTGAATTGTGCTTCTCCTTCATTTCCTATTTCACTGCAAACATAGTGGTTTTAACCCCCCCCCCCCCCACCCCCCCCCCCCCCCCCCCCACCCCACCCCCTTGTGCTAACATACCACTCTTGTGTCTGTACACTCACTTCGGTCCTTCACTGCACCTTATCTGTGTCGCACCACATTTCACCCGAGAAATGACTGGACATTTTTTGCCAGCCCTTTTGTGTACGCACTTCTCAACAGGAAAGACATCACTCACACTGCCTCCAATGTTCCCAGATCAGTTGTGACGGTGTCAGTAACAAGTCGGAAATGTGCTGTTTGGGAGCATTAAAAATAACTCGTATTAACAAATATGAAATCCAACTCCAGCAAAGGATTACACAACAGAGTGACAGAGAGCTGGAATATTTAGAATGTATTTAAATTATATGGAAATATTCACACATTTAGGAGAAAACAAAAACTACAATAATCTCTGAGATTAAAGTCACAAATGAACCAATTGCTGATAATACAAATAAAGTCATTTTCTCATAATTTGACAAACTTTTATTACGCAAGGGTTTTTCATTGGTATATTTGCCCCTACCTGGCCCCTACATGCCATCATACACAACAGAGGATAACACATGTTGTCCTATTCTCCCTGATGAGGCTTTCTGTGATTTTATTTATTTTATTTTTAAGAATGAAACCCTTCAGAGAAGAGCAACGCTTCAGAAAAGGTAAATGTGTACTTTTGTTGTCTTTGAATTGTCATATGTTTAAACTCATAGCAAAAATGATTCCCAGTGTCTGGATAACAGCGGCGTTTAACAAACTGTCCTCTGCCCCTCTGTAGGGAGAGCTTCGCCCTGGTGAAGGGGGCGGTCCTCCTGCTGGAAGAGGGTGAGAGGGTGGGCCTCGATGAGGAAACTTCTTCCTCTCCACCTTCTCCTGGTAAGGAAGGCGATCGAGCGTCAGACAAACGGCACAAACAGCTTCATGCCATGGTGGAACAGCTCCGACCGGAAGACACCATGAAGCTGGTGAGACCTCAAGTTTACCGGCATGCTGCAAATACAATCGGTAGAATTAGAAAATAACAAGCAGAATGATCTGTGCTTAATTGCTCGGATTAAGGAGGATACTGTTCAACAGCTGGGGCACAGCAGGTAGACAGTCCTAATCTGTGGGGACTTTAACAGAATATTAAGTTTAATGTGAACGTATAAAGTGAATTCTACACTGATGGTCTATACTGTAGCTTTGTGGGTTTCAGTGATAGGTTTCAGTCCGTTACTGCAACACAGCGCTAAACTGGTGCTTTCAAAAGCATTATAATAATAATACATTTAATTTGTATAGGGCTTTTCCTAATGCTCAAAGACTCTTACACTAATATTTAGTAGCCAGTATGTTTTGCAGAAAGCTGCTGGATTAAGTTCACCCTTAAGATATGAAA